ATTACTAAGGATCGAGAACAAAAGAAGAGTAATGAGGTGGACATTAGATGGCAATTGAAATGCATGGGACCGGAAGAAAGTTCCACGAGTGAGAAGTGCGAGAAAAGATAGCATAGGACTTGCGGCTACATCGATCAGCTTACCTGTAAATTGATGAGATCTCGACACCAGTCGAGTACTGGGCTTAAATTTAAAAAAAAAGCTTAGCGAAGAACTCATGAACGATTACAATGATTTTTTTTAGAGAAAAGGCATAGAGAGGCTACCTTACAGCGATAGTAATGCGACTGGAGCTGAATTGCCAGATCAGGACCAATAATATTGCAGATTCTTCTTTAGCTCTTATCAAGGAGCTCGAGGTAAATAGCATCGACGAATGGTAGACTTATAGATATGTAAAATAGATTCTGGAGTGAAAATTTGTCTCATCCAGCATAGTGAACAGACTTTCTTAGTAGCTGCCCTACCAATGGATTCAATATAGTCTTTCTATTTCATATCAGCTGAGAACGTGGGACCGGGAAGGAGCAACGAATCACTCAACTGGAGGATAGCATCAGCCATGCTGATGGAAGGCAGCAAGGGGTCTCTAACATGATTAATGGAGAGAAGTTTAGTTTTGGAGGGGTTAAAATTAACAAGCCATCTTTTGCCCCAGTTAACAACGGACATGAGGTCGTTTTGGACATTGGCAGCCATTTTGACCTTGTCTGACTGATCAGCCTTACTATCGAGGCAGGGGTAAATTGTTGTGTTGACAGCGTAGATACCAAGTTGAGAGCTGATGTCATCGGGAAGGTCATTAATGAAAATTAAAAATATAGTTGGACCAAAGATGGAGGTCACCTGCGTTAGTGGGAAAGGGTCTAGACGAGTGGCCGTTCAGGATAACTATCAATTCACGATCTGAACGGAAAGACTTGGATCATTTCAAAAATGGTCCGGAGACGCCGTAACTTTTCAGCTTCTGGAGAAGACCTGAATAACAGAACCTGTCAAAGTCTTTCGAGATGTCCATTCGGAGCTTCACCATTTTATCTAGAGTATTCTAAGCTCTTTCCGCCAATATTGTGAGTACATCGGCAGATGGCCTGGAGAAACGAAAAGCCACATTGCTTGTCTGAGTAAAGGACCTGCGATAAGGGATGATGAACCAATTCAGAAATGATCAGGGCCTCTAGGAGTTTCCCCAAAAGAGGTAGAAGGCCGGTAATTGCAAGGGTCACCTGAGTTCTTAAAAACTGGAACAACAGATGATGACTTCCAGCAGGGAGGAAAGCAGGAGACATTTATTATACAGTTTAGAGAGAACAGGAGCCAGTTCGAAAGCCCGCTTCTTAATTACTACCACAGGGATACCATTGGGTCCGCATTATTTATGAGGATCTAGGTTAGAGATGATAGTAGGAACCATAGAAGGGGCTGTAAGAAAAACTCAGTTCTAGGACGGAAGTTAGGCAGGGATATTCTGGATGAATCATGATTAGAGTTTGAGGAGAATTTCCGGGCAAAGCATTCAGCTTTATCGGTAGAGGACGATAACACCTCACATTGATTGAAGAGGGGTGAGAATATA